AAACAAAATATATGATTTGTTGAATGTAAAACTGATGATCTTGTCTGCAAACCTTCACTCATTCACAATAAAGAGTTAAAAAAAAAAAAAAAGTCTAGTGAGACTGTGTTGGATAGATAATTGACATCTTAAAAATAATGACTCTTCCACTTCAAGAAGAGTTTATCACTCCATTTGTTCAGCAGCTGTTTGGGGGTTCAACTACCCTACAGTATAGTCTGAAAATGCCTACAGACTGTAAGCTGCTGGAAATGGAGGGTCTACTATTTTGTTTCCTCTGTCTCAGTAATCACAGTTCCTGGCTGTTTTCTCATATCTGAAAACCACCATTTCATATAATTCATCTGGTTTACAAGTTTAATGGAGAAAAGTACAGCCTCTGTTATTCCATCTGGGATAAGAGTAAAAACAGTCAGTATTCTTCTTATTATTCATTTTTCCCCAAAACATGTCATTTATGTTAACAGACAACAGATTTATTTATTTATTTATTGCTATTATTTTTAAATGAGTTCATAAGTATTTTTGAAATTTCCTAGTTTTATTTCCTTCTTTGACCCATAGATTATTTGAAAGTGTATTGTTTAGTTTCCAAGTATTTGGTAATTTTCCAGAGAGCTTCCTGTTGCTGATTTCTAATTTCTTTCCATTGTGATAGAAAGCATCCTCTGTATGTTCAATGAATACTCACGAAAACCCTGCACAGGTCTCTAGGGCTCTCTCCACGCTGGTACTCTGTTCTATAAATTCTAGCTGCTTTGCTCTCCCTGGTCTCTGAGGTCTTTCTCCTTAACTCAGAGACCACCAGGCTCTGCTTGGGTCTCCCTCTCCCTGCACCACAGCCTGGGAACTTTCCCAAGAGAATAAGCTGATCTTATTCTGCCATTCATCTCACTTTCTCCCATCTCTCAGGGATCCCTGTCCCTTCTTACCTAATGTTCAGCGTCTAGGAAATCACAGTTTCATATATTTTGTCCATTTATTTAGGACATTTCAAGCAGGAGGATAAATCAAGTCAGCCAGTCCCTGTTACTCCATCACATCACAAACAAAAGTCCACTAAGTTTTCATTTGTAATCGAGTACACATCACTAGATGTAATCCATGTAAACAAAAATTCTTTTCTGTCCTTGATAATGTTGTTTCTTGACTACTTTGTCTATTTATTGTTGTTACGTGCCATTGAGTCAGTTCCAACTTATAGTGCCCTTCTATATGGTTTCCAAGAAGTGGCTGGTAGGTTTGAACTGCCGATCTTGCGGTTCAAACTGACCTTTGGCTCAGTGCTTATCCTACAGTGCTACACCAGTACTCCACCGGTCTGAAGCTTCTCATAATTTTCTACAACATTATTCTGTTTTATTTTCTTCAAAGCACTTCCCACCTAAAACTGTGTTAGTGTGTGTCTGATTATTTATTATGTTAGTTTTCTATCTCTTACTAGAATGTAAGTTCCACAAAAGGAGAAACTTTGTGTATGTTGCTCACTGCTATAATCCCACTACCTAGGATACAAATGGGCACACTGTAGATGTTCAATAAAACTTTCTAAAATTAATAAATAGCCAAACAAAGGAACAAATTAAATTAAGCTACAATGCCTTGGCTACGTAACAAGATTAAGTTAGTGCTTCCAAGAAAAGTTTTAAGAGATAGAATGCTCAGTGGATTTCTTTCTAGCAGATTACAGAATTGTCTTTTATCAAGGTAAAGAGAACAAAAATTCACAAAGTATGTCTTAATTCAGAACACTTATTAAAAGCAGTTGATACCATAATCAACATGTAAGTCAAATTATTTGACTCAAATGATTTTGTTTGTATCAAACACTTTCTTCAGATCTGTAACTAAAGCTCAAATTGTCTGGGTTTTTTTCCTTTACTCAATGAGAAACTTATGAGTATCAATCTACATAAAACTGTTTAAAAAAAAAACAAAGCCTAAAATGCATCAATACAAAACTACCAAATGAGCCCATTCATAAAATTAAAGTTGCCATTGTTTTAAGCATTGTTGTTGTTCTTAAATGCCATCAAATTGGTTCCAACTTATAAGAGACCCCATATAAGGTTTCAGAGGAGTAGCTGGTGCGTTTGAACTTCCGACCTTGTGGTTGGCCGTCCAGTGCTGATTCTACAGCATCACACCAGCATTATAACCTTAAAACTTATAAACACACAAAAGAAAGTTCCCAAGTAAGCAGTTATGCTTTCTTATTGAGTGACAGCATATTACAATGCAGAGTTTAGACTTGAGCAACTGGATTTAAGTTCCAGCACTGACTTGTGCTAACACCATCTCTAAGTCTCGTTTCTTCCTGCATGAAACGAGAATACTCCCTCCACACGTTTGCTGGGAGGATCACTAAAATAACAGTGGTAGAACTCTGGGAATAGAATGCATACTCAATAACGCTGACTTTCTACCTCCCCTCTTTTCTTTTATAAAGTGACAAAGTTGAAAAGAGTGAAAGAAAGTTTATTCAAGTCAGAAGATATGAAGTACTGGAAGAATGACTGATAACTTAGCTTCGAGGATTGATTAAACTTACATATTTCTTCCCAGAAAGAAAGTAAAATCAAGCAGTAAGAGATTTTAGGAAAATAAAAGAAATAACAATCATCACCATGACTGGAATATAAAGAAGAGGGAGTGAAGAGGCTGACGAAGTAGACTGGTCACATTGGGGATAACAGACTTCATAATGTCTAACTTAAATGTAATTTAAATTCGCTGAAGTTTTTCATAATGGCAAGAAGGCAATGAGGCAGGAATGCCATGGTCAGAAGATTTTTACCAAAATTATTTCAACACAACTCTGTTGATGTTAATTGTTAGATTCCAATTCATGGAACCCCCTGTGTGCAGAACAGAATGGTTCTACATATATGACCTCAGGATGCAATATTGAAAGATTCTATAAGCAAAATATTGAATGATGCAGGATGCATCAAAAGAAGATAAAAGGAATTGTACCAAAAAGAATTGGTCAATGTCCAACCTTTCAAGAAATATATGAACGAGAATTGATCATACTGATCTCCAAGATTCATTGAAGGCATAGTAGAAAAACAAGGCTCCAGGACATGACAAAATACAAATTGAAATCTTTCAACAAACTAATTCAGCACTGAAGGCACTCACTCATCTACGTTAAGAAATTTAGAAGACAGCTACCTGACCAACCAATTGGAAGAGATCCATATTTGTGCCCATTACAAAGAAAGCTGGCCAAACAGAATGCGGAAATCAATGAGTAATATCATTAGTATCAATATGCAAGTAAAATTTTGCTGAAGATAATTCAGAAATGATTGTAGCAGTACACTGACAGTGAGCTGCCAGATATTCAAGTCAATTTCAGAAGATGATGTAGAATGAGGGCCTTATATGACCCAAGGGCCAGGCGTTCCCCACTTCTGGACTATAAAAAGCATTCAATTGTGTGGCTAACAAACGTTGAATAATATTGGGAAGAATGGATATTTCAGAACATTTGCTTGTTCTGATAAGGAACCTGTACAAAGACCATGAAGTAGTCATTTGAACAGAACGAGGGGATACTAAATGGATTAAAATCAGGAAAAGTGTGTGCCAGGGTTGTATCCTTTCACCATACTTGTTCAATCTGTATGTTGAGCAAATAACCTGAGAAGTTGGATCATATGAAGATCATGGAATTGGTATAAGACAGAGGAAGACACAACCTGAGATATGCAGATGACACAACCTTTCTTGCTAGAAGCACAAAGACTACACTCTTCAGTAGGGATTGCAACACAATGTAAACAAAACGAAAATCCTAAAACAAAACTTGAAAAGATTGAAATTTTTTAAAGGCTTCAGTTTGCTTGGATCCACAATCATCACTCATAGAAGCAGAAGTCAAAAAATCAATCATATACTACTGCATTAGGAAATCTGCTGGAAAAGACTTCTTTCAAGTGTTCAAGGGCAGAGACATCAGTTTGAGGGCTAAGGTGTGACTGACTAATGGTATTTTTAATTGCCTCATATGCATGTTCAGGCTATCGTTCATGACTACCTAAGGTTCCTTTTCCTACACTGGTAATCACATCCACATCTAGTGCTGGTGTACTTAATCCTCCTCCTAACATACATCACTGCTGAACTTGCCCTTCAAAATTTAAGAACTGGAAAAAGAAAGCAAAATTGTCTTTGTTGCTGTTATTGTTTTACTTGCCATGAAGTCGGTTCCAACTCACAACGACCCTGTATAGGGTTTCCTAGGAGTGGCTGGAGGGTTAAACCACCAGTCCTGTGCTTCAAACTGACTTTGCAGTCAGCACATTAACCCACAGGGCCACAAGTACCATAACTAGGAACACTCATTGAATAAACATTTATTAATTAACTACTGTTTGCCAGGCACTACAATTTAAAACAAAAACCAAAGGAAGAAAGAAAGAATAACAACTAATCAACTGACAAGAAAATAATGTGTTAGCCCAGGAAAGATAACATAAGGAAGGGGGCTTCAAAAAGTTCATGGAAAAATTTCATTATCTTTTAATTCCATTTTCCCATACTTTCTGAAGCTCCCACATGTATGATTTAAGGAAAAGGAAATGATATAGTTTGGAAGTTGGTAACAACTAGAAAATGAAACTCTTTTTGGCACAAATTTGCAAGCTATTAAAGTGCTGAAATTCTTTAGAGAAGTATCCGCATTGAGTGGTCTGAAGAGTCAGTTTTCATTTCAAACTCATCTATCTTCTCACAGAAAAGAGAGCAGCAACTAATTAATATTTTTAAAGTGTTTTTTCACAAGTTTAATGTAGAATGCTAGTGATAAATTAAAAAGCAGGCATATAAAGTAAAAAAAGATCACTGTTTATGGAAACAATCAACTAAAGCTCCGTCTCTTAAGTAATGATAACAAAAAAAGTTTATATCTAGTATTTACAAAAATTAATGAAGTAAAAAAAACCTGGTACCCAAATTCTTGTTGCAAGTACAGAAAACAATGTACAACTTACGATATATACTGTGGATTTCATCTATTTCCTTTTCTGTTTGGCCCTTTGTAAATACCATGATCTAAAACAATATATAAAAAGATTAATACAAAATTTTTTAAAAGACAAAAAAAATGTAAAATGGAAATAAGTATTATAAACTTTAAAATCTCAAAGGTGATATTTAACAAAATAATCTCTTCATCTCTGTTTCACAGATTTAATAATTCTAGTGTGCTTCCAGTGAATAAAATGGTTTCATGGTTAGTATACATTTCACTCATTACTTTTTTTTTTCTATCAGTAGAAAATGAAACTGATTCTATTATAATATATGAAGAATTATCATAATGATTAAGTTTCCTATTTTCAATAGTTAATTTTCCATATTCATTAATACAACAGGTAATAACTTGAAATTACAAGACTGAGGAAATTTCACTTTTCTATGAATAAGGTAGCTTCTCTCGTTTCCAATCTAACTTCTCCAAGGTCATACTAGAAAATAAATATATGCGGAGAGAATGCAATATAACAAATGTAGGATACACCATAGTATATGTAGTAGGCATCACATTTCTATGCCTATTTTGTCAATTTTACACTTAAAAGATTAAAAATCTACTTAAGTAATTTATTATAATCCCCAACTTCTAGAAAGCACAGGTAATAAAGCCAACGGAAACCCCATTTTTTTCTCTATATGGTCATAAACTTAGTCCCTAAGGTCACTGCTTATAAACTCAGTACCAATGGTCTAGGGGAAAGAGCCTACTTGGGAGAGCAAATAAAAAACTTTCCCCAGTGCCATAATAAGGAATTTTTGTGACTATTTTCTTCTTTGGTATCTTTTCCCTCAAGTTTTGAAGGCCAAAATGAAGAATGTTAGATCTCTGATTCTTTCATTAAGTTCAATAGAATAGTCAATCCTCAGAAATTCTAATAATATATTGCATTTCTCTACAGGTAGAATTTTGGAACTGTAGAATTCAGGAGCTAAAAGGGATTCCTGTTGTTGAGTGCCACTGAGTTGGTTCCAACTCATAGAGACCCTGAATAGGGTTCCTGAGGAGCGGCTGGTGAGTTTGAACCTCCTACCTTGAAGTTCAAACTGATCTTGTGGTCCAGTGCATAATCCTAACACCAGGACTCCAAAAGGGATCTTTAGGAATCATGTATTTCAAGTCTTAATTTTACAGATAAAGTCCCTAAGCCCACAAAGGTTAAGAAGCTTACCAAATGACCTCAGCAGAGAAAGAATAATAAAACTACCTGCACAGATACAGAGGTTCTGGTGTGGCACTGTAGGATAAGCACTGGACTGCTGACCGCAAAGTTGGTGACATTCAAACTTACCAGTCATTACCTGAAAACTCTGTACAGGGTTGCTATACATTGAAACCAACTCTACAGCACTTAACAACAACAATGCACAGGCACATGTTTTCTTCACAGGGCCCTAGGTCATTAATAAACACTATTTAGAATGTACATTATACTAGAAAACTATTAAATGCAGATTTCATTTTGTGTTAAAAGTGAGCTGCAAGCAAGTCATAACCAAAATACTGAAATCGATATCATCAACATACAGTTTCACTGAGTTGACCAGCTTCAAGACGCATCCTAGTCTTCTCCATATTTTCAACTTCTTTAGCTATTTCAGCAGCTGTTAATGTAAAAACATACAACCAATGTTAATTTCACGGTTCTGATCATTATATAAAGGTGCTGTAGGTTTTTAGCAGTAAAGGGAGCTGGGTAACATGGTACTATGAGAACCCTACTATTGCTGCAATTTTTCTGTCAGTCTAAAATTATTTCAGAACAAAGTTAAAAGTGTAAGTACATAAAGTTATAAACAATAAACTCATATCGTCACAACAATTCAAAATATAACAATAAATTCAAAGCATTTTACAGTCCCAATGGAATATGAAAATTATTTAGGGTGAATCCAATTCTTGGTGGTGGTGGTTATGTGCCCTGGAGTTGGTTCCGACTCATAGCAACCCTGCACAGGGTTTCCGAGGCAGTAAATCTTTATGGGAGCAGAAAGCCTCACTTTTCTCCCACGGAACAGCTGGTAGTTTGAAACTGCCAACCTTGAAGCTTGCAGCCCAATTCGTAACCCCTACGTTACCAAAGCTCCTTAAATCCCATGTACTAAATATTAAATAAGGAGCTTTGGTAGTGTAGTGGTTATGAGTCGGGCTGCTAATCTCATGGTCAGCAGTTTGAAATTACCAGCAGCAGTTCCGTGGGAGAAAGGTGAGGCTTTCTGCTCCCGTAAAGATTTACAGCCACGGAAACCCTATGCAGGGTTGCTATGAGTTAGAACTGAGTCTACCACCGCCAAATACAGTAAAACAATCTACTTTTCAAGGAGAAAGATCTACAACATACCAAGGGAAAAATGACCTTGTCTTCAAACCCTTTGTAGGCACAGTAACTAATCATACATATCAGTGATCTGCAATACAGGTCATAAAACATAAATGCCATGTCATAATATATAAATGTCTCTACATGCAGGGTATGATTCTAGGTAAAGTGGAGGGACAACGAAAAAGAGGAAGACCCCCAAACAAGATGGATGAGCACAGTGGCAGCAGCAATAGACGCAAGCTTAAATTGTGAGGGTGGCACAGAACGAGGCAGTGTTTCATTATGTTGTGCATGGGGTCGCTATGAGTTGGAACCAACTCAGCGGTACCTAACAACAACAACAGCATGTAAATAGCACAGAATTTGCAATGCTCTATTTCTAAAGTCAACTTATTAAAATCAAAATATAATAAAAACTTAAGAAGTGGACTACATACAGAAAGAAACTTTCAAGTTTATTTCTTTTGAAATTACTTGAAGATCACTATGGGTCGGAACCGACTCGACGGCACTTAACAACAACAACAAGGGGTGGAAGATGGAGGGACAGTAAATCACTCACTAGAGGGTAAGGCAAAACACAGTAAGGGAGAGGTCAGCAGAAAAGGATTAAGGCAAAGGAAGACACTGGAAGGAGAAAGAAAGTTAAAGGCAATAAAAAGTTAAATACTATTACACACTCAATACTCTAATAATAACAATGATCTACGAGTGGCTACATAGATAGCCACTCAAGTTGAACAAGGGTGAGAAGGCGATGGAACCACACACACATATATGTATCTACATAAGTTTGACAGGCTATTTTACATAGCGGAGGCTTCAAAAAGTTCACAGAAAGATACCGTTATCTTTTTTTTTACAGGATAGGAAAACAATTTCCTACAAAGTATGGCAGAAGTAAGAAATTCATTCTAAAATTGTACTTTAGTATAATTCTGTCACATTGGGACAGATATTCCCTCCAAAGATGGGCTCCTTCCGTCTGCCCCACTGGATTCATTTCTGCTGAGAGGCCAATTTTGGGCGGGTCTTACAATGCTTTGCTGACTCATGCCATGAACAGGCAAGGGCCATCTTCAAAGTTAAAGTTACAAGTGTATTCTCCGAAGTATAACACTTTCTATTTCAAGAGTGCAGAATCATTTTGTGTAGTTGGCACAGTTTAAATTAAGTAAGCACAAATTCATCAAAGTGTAAAAAAGGTGGCAGGAAAAAGGTACATTTTAGAATAAGGCACCTGTGAATGTTTAAGGCAGCTGATGTCCAAATAGTGCGTCAAGGAAAGTGGTCTAGGTTTGGAGGTGGTTTTGCATCTAGAGGAATTCTCTTCATGACCTTAATGACAGGCAGTGTAGAACATGTCTTCTTCAGGGCCAGGGGTACTTGAGATACCAGATGGTTTCATTTTTCAAATGTGTTGTCCCAAGAGAGGGTTGAGTTGGGTCAGAATTGCAATCAACCAAAAGAGGTACCAGCAAATGGAACACAGATCCCCAACATGGTGATGTTGACGCCTCGGTTAGGACCCTTAGGGATAAAGCAAGGCACCAGAAGCCCACAAAGCCCCAGAACACATTCATCACAAAGAGAGACAACATGAGCCATGGTTGTCACCTGAGCTGTGAGCCATGGCACTGCCTCCTCACTTTGGTTGCATCCAGAAGTGTCAACCACATTATCTTTTTTTTTTTTTT